GTGTAAAATCACCCAATAGGACTGAGTAACTTGCCGTCCACTGAGGGGGTTGGTCAGTTTGTGGTCCTGCTGGGAGGGCCATGCCTTGAAATTGATATTTGCTTGTATAAGCAGCCAACCCCACAGAGGTTTTTAGAGAAGGGGAGGAGGAAACCTCAAGACCCAGAAGAGCCTTAAGTGGAGTGGTTTGGACTTGGGGTTCCTGTGAGGGGAACCTCTTAAAACAGCTGTAACAAGGATCAAGGGTTGTAACACTAAAGATGGCAAGAGGCCTAGAAGGGGCCCAGTGGCAGAGCCAGTGGCTGAGAAGGCCTGCACTGCATGGCTGAGACAGCCTGCACTGCATGGCTGAGAGGGCCACTATGCTGGCTGTGAGCTGGGCCAGTTAGCAGAGGAGAGGCCAACAGTGGAGAGTCTATTGGCGAAGGGGCCCGATGGCAGAAAGCAGCTAAGAGAGCTAAGTGAGCTGCTACGCTGGCCATGAGCTGGGCCAGCTAGCAATGGACAGGCCTGAAAGCAGCTGCAGAAAACATCTGAAAGAGTTGTCCTGCTTGGAAGCTGTCCTGCACTGAAGAAGGGAGGGATGTGCTCTCCACATTAAGGGGAGTCATCCTGACCTTGCCTGTGTGCTTTCTGATCCTGATCCCAAGTTATAACCTGTTACTTCCCTAATAAACCACATAACTGTGAGTATGGTCTGTGAGTTCTGTGTGGCCACTGCAACGAATTATCTAACCCAGCAAGAAGTAGAGAGTGCTGTAGGGGGAAAAGCTGGTGTCAGAAATGGTGAGAAAGTTGGAGAGTGGAAGTATGTTTGACCTCCACTTCATAGGAACCAGCTTTGTGATGATTCTGATTCTTATCCCTCAGGAATTTAGACGAGTCATTATGCCGCATTACACTGAACAAGTAAATGTTACTCTTAAGTTACACTTCCCTTACCCACCACTCCCCATACAAACTAACCTACACCTTCACTCATCTTTATTTTTGTCTCTCCTTTCTTAAAGTTTCCCTCCTCCAATACCTGCATAAAACATCCTCTCCAATATCTTCTGAGACCTTGTTCCATCAAGGTATCTCCTCTTTCTGAATCTTCAGCCTCTTCCTCTACTCTAGCTCCTTCTTCTTCATTGTATAAATATGCTCATGTCTTTCCTGTCTGGGGGAGGGGAAGCAGAAAATAACAAAACAAAACACAAAAAATTCTCCTCCTCCTCGTAACTATGACTTACCAGCCTATTTTCTAGCTTTCCAGAGCCAAACTTCTTGAAATATTCAATTCTTGATGCCTGTATTTCCTCATCTCCCATTCATTTAATTTTTTTTATTGTTGTGCTTTAAGTGAAAGTTTACAATTCAAGCTAGTCTCTCATACAAAAATTTATGCATACATTGTTATGTGACCCTAGTTGCTCTCCCTATACTGTGACAGCACACTCCTCCTTTCCACCCCGGATTTCCCGTGTCCATTCAACCAGCTCCTGACCCTCTCTGCCTTCTCATATAATCTCTGGACAGAAGCTGCCCATTTAGTCTCATGTATCTATTTAAGCTAAGAAGCACACTCTTCAAGAGTATCATTTTATGTCCTATAGTCCAGTCTAATCTTTGTCTGAAGAGTTGGCCTTGGGAATGGTTTTAGTTTGGGGCTAACAGAGTCCAGGGGCCATGTCTTCTGGGGTCCTTCCAGTCTCAATCAAACCATAAAGTCTGATCTTTTTACTAGGATTTGAGTTCTGCACCCTACTTTTCTCCTGCTCTGTCAGGGACTCTCTGTTGTGTTCCCTGTCAAGGCGGTCATTGGTGATAGCCGGGCACCATCTAGTTCTTCTGATCTCAGGCTGATGAAGTCTCTGGTTTATGTGGCTCTTTCTGTCTGTTGGGCTAATACTTTCCTTGTGTCTTTGGTGTTATTCATTCTCCTTTACTACAGGTGGGTTGCGACCTCACATTCATTTCTTAACCTCCAATTCATTTCTTAGCCTAGCTTCAGCTTCCCCCAACCCACTGAAATTTTCTTTGTCACAGCCGTTAGTGATTTTATGATTGCCAAAGCCAGAGGAAATAGAAGTCTATCCTTTTCTTGACTTCTCAGTGGCATTAACCACTCCTTCTTGAAATTTCTCTCTTGTCTTCAAGAACATCACTCTTCCTCCCTCGCCTCAAATATTTATTTATTGGAAGAAGGGAGGGGAGCAGGTTGGGGTGGTGACCAAGAGGACTTTATCTTTTTTTTAAAAGAGCATCACTCTGCATTCCTTTTACCTCTCAGATGACTTCATTCTCTGTTTCTTTACCTGATTCCTCTTCTTTGGATCAGTCATCAAATGGTGGTATTACCCAGTCCTCTGAATTCAGCCTTCTCGTTTTATATACCTGTAGCTTTCTTGGGTGACTTCTTCCACATCCATCATTTGAACTTTATTACCTAAGTGCTGATGACTTCTGGACTATAGCCCTATATTAAATCTGTATACTAAACTTTAGACACAAATATCCCTCTGCCTAATGTTGGAGCTCAACCAAGACGTACCACAGATACATCAACACTCAGCAGGTCCAAAAGCTAATCAGTTTTTCCTTCTGTATTCCCCATCTCAGAGAATGATATCCTTTTCTTCCCAGTTGCCCAAGAGAGTGACATGGAAATCCTTCTAGACTCCCCCTCCCTCCCTCACCTCATGCATTCAGTTATCAAGTCCTTCTGAGTCTAGCCCATCACAATCTCTCAAAAATTTCCCTCTTCCCTCTTTATTACTGCCTGTGTTCAAACACTCATCCTTGCTAGACTAGACATAGTCTCTTAACTAGTTTCTTATCTCATCTTGCTTCACTTCCAGTCCATTCTCCCCACTTACACCACAAAAATGATGCTTTCATATAAATCTTATCAGTTCCCTGGTCGAAATTTTGGGGTATTGGCTACCCATAAGATAAAGTTTAAATTGTTTAGCATCACATCCATGACCTCTGCCTTTCTATGGGGTTTCATCTCCTTTGACCAATTGTCCTTTGCATTTAAGCTGTACTGAACCACTTGTGGTTTTCATAGCTTCCGATCTCTGCATACGATGGACCCTAGTACTGCTCCCCTGCATACACACACACACACACACACACACACACACACCCTTTCCCGTGTCAACCCAGGGAAAGTTGGTTATTTGCCCTCTTCTATGCTCTCATAGGATCCTGTGAAAAAGACTTTTGTTACAGCACCAATAAAACATTTTGGTTAGAGAAGAGTAACTATGTCTTTAGTCTTTGTATTCCTAGCAGGGAATGTTTGATATATGTGTGATTAGCTCAATTCAGCAATTTTGAAACTTCTTTTTAAGTAAGAGAAACTCTTCTTCAAATAAAATCTTCTGTAAAAGCTTAATCATATGTAGAATAGACAAAAGCCAGGGATCCTACCACTTCCTTCTGTCATGGAAGCCTCTTAGGTGCTGGTGCTTTCACTGGGCACAGTGTGAAAATCACTGGTTTAGAAACTATCTTGAAGATGACCAGATATCTGATCTGTCAAAACCGGTAGATTCAGTCATAAAAAGGAATGAAGTACTGATACATGCTACAACATGAATAACTCTTTAAAACGTTATACTAAGTGAAAGAAATTAGACACAAAGGTCACATATTCTAGGATTCCATCTATATGAAATATCCAGAACAGGCAAATCCATGAGAGAAAGAAAGTAGATTAGTGGTTACCAGGGACTTGGGCAGAAGAAGATGAGGAGTGACTGCTTAATGAGTATGGGGTTTCTTTTTGGGGTGATGAAAATGTTCTGGATTAGGTGGTGGTGACGATTGCACAATCTTGTGAATATGCTAAAAACCACTGAATTGTATACTTTAAAAGAGTGAATTTAATGCTATATGAATTATACCTCAAAAAAAAATCACAATGACATAATATTCCATTTCACAGAATTGATTGCTTGAGAGAGATTAAGGAATTCGTTTCTATAATGTTAGCATTTCTTTATAAAGTTGCATGCATGTAACTGTTCTCTTTGTCTAACTGGGAAGAAATGTGACTCTCACTTTCCCTGTAACATGAATAAATCTGTTGGGAGCAATGAGTAACACTTCCTGCAAAAAAAAAAAAATGCCTATCAGAGGTTTTTAGGGCTAGAAACTAGAGCCCTAAGAATTATTTTAAAGAAACTTCAAATCCTGCTCAAATCTTTTCAGTCACCTAAACTCTAACCAACTCCTTATGTTCATATGAACTCGTGAGGGAAATCTCCCCTCTCAGAATTTCCTTTTTTGAGGCTGATGTTGGCAGAATATAGGGCTGTTGAGGGGGTGGTATCCTTCTAAGGAAAGAACTCCAGTTCAGAGAGAGCTAAGCAAGGACACCAGGGCTTATGGGTAAAGGTGCAGAGGAACTGGGCTGGGGAAATAGGGCAGAGTCCTTAGGCATAAACTTAGGTTAAATTTTAAGAGTCAGGTGGGTTCTGGGAAAGAATAAAGGGTACTAGCCCAGGCCACCCACGTACAGCGAGTGGATTAAGGTCAGGTGAGTGAGACAGCCTTTTGGCAGAGAAGTGCTTCCTCAGTGGGAGAACAAGCGAGGAGGAGAGCTTGAGAGTGGAACATCTGGGATTTTGGTAATAAACCACAACCAAGCCTTTCCCTTAGCCTCAGAACTCCAGTTTGGGTAAACATTCTCCAGAGCTATTCTTGAAAAAAAAGTTGGTGCAAGCCAGAATCTTATCTCATCTTGAGAAAATACAAAGAAAAGCCCAGGATTCTTACATAGCACCTCTCTCCCTCATCCTCCCACTCTTCCCCAGATTGATATTCAACAGACAGCCAGAAAAGAGATTCACATATCCATACCCAGAGTCAGGTGGATCCCGCTGCACACACTCACATACACACTAGCTTTAGCCATGTTCTATTATTGAGCCATTTGGATGGGGGTTAGTGGTAAGGGAATTCTCACACCTCCACCACAGTGCCCCTGCCAAGCAGGAAGCTGGGGTTCAGCAGCTGTGGCAGACACTGGGGTAGACGTCTCAGTGCAGACCAATGGCATCGATGATGGCGCCAACTTGGCCACTGATGTATCATAGCATGGTGTTGGGGTGCAAGGGGACAGCATTGAAACTCGCGCCTGCATCTTTCCCAAAAGGCAGGTAGCGGCCCTTGTCAGTCACGAAGACCAGCTTCCTCACGTAGTTCTTGTACTTGCCAGACACCTGTATCACTGATTCGCCAGGGTGCAGAAAGATCTCCTCCAGGTATCCCAGGGACCCACCCACATAGTCACTCCACACCTTGCCATAGCGCACCTGGAGACTGGGGGTAGGGGTGAGGAGAGTAGGAAGGAAGACATTGAGGAGGGTGATCAGAATTCATTACCTCTTGGCCTGCACGCTGAGACCTTCAAATTGGTGACAGGGACAACAAGTCTCCTGCCAGCCCCACAGAATTTAAAGGCTGAATGAGCCCTTGGTGATCACACAGGAAACTTCAGCTCCTCATTTTGGCAACAAACAAATGGGCTCAGAGGGGGAAAACCACTTGCCCAGAGTCACCCAGAGCGCATGTGTCAGAGCTTGAATTTGAAGTCCAGACTCCCACTACCTTCCTCCCCCCGCACTGGAAAGAAGCAAATGAATTTTTAAAACATATGAAAGACTGTCATGTGGAAGAGGGAGGAGACTTGTCTGTGTGCTGTCCCAGGGTGTAGATCCAGGATCAGAAGGAGACCCATTTTGGCTCTGCATGATAGAATTTTCTGACTATATGAACAGAATGGGAATATTTCAGGAGAGGCATCAAGCAAAGATGGAGGATGCCTAGCAGGAATGTTGCAGAGAGAATTTAAACCTCGGGTGGGGAATGAATTAGACAACTTCCAGGCCACTGAGGATTTTCGACTATATGATTTGCCCGAGGTCATGCATGTTGGGTTTGAACGGGTTGTAGCAGTGCAGGCCTACACCACTATGCTAACAACCTTTTACCATATCATGTTACCCCTGTGACTAGTCGACTGAAATGTATGTGACCCAAAGTGTCTGAGAACTTCCTGATTTAGTAAGATCCCAGAGGGTCCTCAAAGCGCAGAAACCCAAAGAACCTTACCCTACGATGTAGTATCTGTTGACGGACGCGGAGGGTGGTGATGGGGCCTTCCAACTGGTTGCCAGAATGGGAGAATCACTTTCCTCCACCACCTCCATACTTGCCACTGTAGGAAGAGGACCGAGACTGAACTGGAGGGGATGTAAGAGTTGGAGGGAGAAATCCCCTAAGAATTCAGCTTCTCCACACCACCCCGATTCCTCCCATAACTCAGTTCCCACCACCCTCAAGCCAGCCTCTGAATGCCTTGCCCACCAGCAGTGCAGGAGGCTGTCTTCCCATGACCCTGGTATCTCACTTACTGGCACTGGCAGAGGCTGAGGCACAAAGGAGGGCTAGGAGAGCAATGGTCAACATTCTGGGGCTGGAGTGGGAAGAAAGGAAAAATGAAGAATGATCCTTTTGCCTCTGGACTTTATTTACCCAGGCATCACTGACCTCCAGTTTAGATACAAGTTTCTTGGTCCTTCAACTTAGACCTAGCCGACCCAGACTTGGGCTTAGAAAGGATTGTCCATAGTTCATAGTCCTATTCCTCCCAGATACCGCCATCTGTGTCCTTAGCCCCTTTGGCTCTCCCTGGTCTGGATGTAGCTAATTCCTCTTCTTCTCTCCCAAGCCAGAAGAGCAATAACTTTCTATCTGGCTTAAACTGTAGCAAACCCCATTCCTTCCTGCTATAAAGCAGGAAAGGAGTTTCCTGCAGAGGAAGTGAAGGACATCACCAAAGTTTACTGAACCCAGGAGTCTGAGCAAAACCTAACTGAAGTCGGCCACAAGATTGGCCTGGCTTGTGGTTCATCTGTGGAGCGCTGGTGGCACAGTGGTTAAAAGCCCTTGGCCGCTAACCGAAAGGTCAGCAGGTCGAATCCACCAGCTACTCTGCAGGAGAAAGATGTAGCAGTCTGCTTCCGTAAAGATTATAGCCTTGGAAACCCTAGGGGCATTTCTACTCTGTACTACTGGGTCGCTATCAGTCAGAATCGACTTGGCGGCAGTGGATTTAGTTTGGATTTTTGGTGGTCATCTGGGGCATAGTTTAAATCCCCAGCTTCACCCTGGTCTCAAATCAGAAGGAAAGGAGCATTTTAGAGGTGTCTCTGTGTCACCTGGGAAGTGAAGGTGGTGTTAGAATGGACAGTGCCAATACCATTGTCCAAGCAGTTCTAGTGGGATAGACTGAGAAGTTGCAGAGAGAGTTGAGACCAGTTGAAGACATTAGATCCCAGGTGCCTGGTCTATTTGTCATAATCATTTCTCCCTTAACACAAATCTAATCATTTCCACTCCCCTGAGCATCCCAGATCCCCAGTTCTTCAGCTGAGACCCAGATATCTTTGCACTGAAGATAAGCTCAGGTCCATGTGCCCTGCTTAACTGACACTCAGGCCTCCCCTGCCATTCAATCCAGGCATCCTTTCCTCCCGCTCAGATTTGAATTTCCCCCTAACTAAGATCCAGGCTTCCCTGTCACCCACTTAGCCCAGGCCTCCATCACCCCTTACCTGGCAGTTTCGGGCACAACATAAGCCCCAGAAACTCCCAGATCTCTTAGATTAGGTCCAAACCCTCCCTCTGCTCTTTATCGTGTGAACCTCACCTCCTGTGCAAACATGATTAACCTCTTAGGATCAGGTGTCAGGCAGGGTCTGGGACATCTTATCCTGTCCCTCCCAAAAGTTACAGGCGGCAGGGTGGGGTCTACTCTGGGCCAAGTCCCAGAAATCAGGAATAGAATAAAGTTGAGACAAGTGGGCAAAATGGTTAATTGCCTCTGAGTAACTTGAGGGGCTCTTGAAAGGTTCTTCCTCCCCTAAATGGTCGGCAGGTGTTCTCACCTAAAATCCCCATCTTTCAGGATAAACAGTGACCTCTCAGACATTTGAAATGTAGATTCTTCCAGAAGGGGTTACACTCCTAATGCCTCATACTTAGGAGTACCTACTATTTGCTAGATAATTTTTTGTCTCCCTCCCTTGATATTTTATTATGAAAAATCTCAAACAGAGAGTAAATTTGAAAGAATTGTATAGTGAACACCCATACGCCCATCACGTAGATTCTACCATGGTTAATATTTTGCTGTACTTGCTCTGTGTTTAGTTTTTTCTTCCTTATCCATCCATCTAACCTGTTGCCGTCGAGTCAATTCCAACTCATAGCGACCCTATAGGACAGAGTAGAACTGCCCCAGAGGGTTTCCAAGGAGTGCTGGTGGAGTGGAACTGCCGACCGTTTTTGGTTAGCAGCTGAGCTCTTAACCACTACGCCACGAGGGCTCATCCATCCATCTATCGACCCTCAATCTGCCAGACCCTCCTCAAACTTTTATTCTGTGAGAAGGGTGTCTTGCCAGAGGCGTAACTAAGGTACGGCTGGTAGGGGGCGTGCCCTGGGCGCCTTTTGAGGAGGGGCACTAATGAGCAGTTTCTATCGGCCATAGCAGTTTCCAACGCTAGCTGTGAGAGATCATTCAGCAATTTAAACCTAATTGCCATAGGCGCTGTTTTCCGTAGATAGGCCCCTGCTTGGGTTTGCAGGTGGACAATGAACACCAGCGGATCCCTCCTCCTGAGAACAGAGACAGTCAATAGGCAAGTGGGAAGGTGAGGAGTAAAGCGTATACACGTCCTCCCCTGGAGGGCGTTCTGGGCTTTGGACCCTCAGGACTCCTGGACCACAGAACCACCCTAGCAGGCTGGGCACCACAGCCGATTCCTCCTGGGGCTGCAGCCTCCGCCTTGGGACGGCCCACCCAGGCAATTGCTCCTTCCCTGAGGCCTGAAACTTCCCCAGGGCTAACGTCATAGATTTCCTCTCTCTTTAGACCCTTCTCTTCCAGGACTGACTCCTCTCCACCTAAAACCCCTAGGACAGACTCCTGAGTCTTATTGCCAGACCCCTCCAGAACTGGCCCTCTGACTCTCCTGAATCATCAAGTCCTTCCAAGCTGAGAGATGGGTGGATGGAGCCCAGGGCACCGATGGCATAATTAATCCCAGTTATTAATGACTAGTAGCTGGCAAGGAGCCCAGGTGGTGCAGTGGTGAAAGCGCTTGACTGCTAAAAGAAAGGTTGATGGTTCAAACCCACCAACTCCTCTATGGGAGAAAGATGTGGCAGTCTGCTTCCTTAAAGATTACAGCCTTGGAAACCGTATGGGAGCAGTTCTACTCTGTCCTATAGGGTCGCTATGAGTTGGAATCAACTCGACAGCAGTGGGTTTGGTGGTTTTTTTCTTTTTGTTTGTTTGTTTTGTTGTGCTTAGTAGGTAGCATTCAGAGTACTTCACCTCTTTACAAGCTCACCATCTGGAGCCAAGCACCCATCCCAGATAACAAAAGGAGCCCTGCCCTGATGAGCCGGAAACAGGGCAGCGCTCCTGGGTGGTGAGATTCCGGGAGTGAAGCAGGGCAACAGCAAAGGATGCCATTGTCTCCCTCCCCTACACGTCCCTGTCCTGCTCTCCCCTGCCCTGTCCTCCCTTCTCCTCTCCTCATATCCTGGTGACATACATTTACCTCATTGCAGCCATTTTATTTTATTGTGTCTTTTGCCCTCTCTCTGTTTGCCTTTCTTACCCCATTCTCTCTCTTTCTCTTATGTCTTGATCTTTCCCTGCATCTCTTGCTCTGAAGTTTTGTCTTTATATTCCCTCTCTCCATGCCTTTTTGTTTCTGCCTCTGTCTCCTCTTTGTCTCTACATCTTTCCCAAGCTCTCTCTGGCTCTCTTCCTCTCTCTCACTATTGTGTGTCTCTCTCTGTCTCTTCTGTTCCTCATATGGACATATCACACAGTCTGTGACCAAATACAGAAAGTCAAAGAGAGGTCTGAGGTGACTCCCTTGGGAGAATGCCCTCATATTTCCAGGCATGATACATCCAGAGCCCTCAGGATAGAGGATCCCCACATTTGCCACAGGTTCATTCCCCTGCACCTACCTAGGGGAATATACAGAGTCTCCTCCATTGCCTGGAGACTGGTACCTGGGTTCCCCAAAGCAAGTCCT